TAGCAAACCTTCTCAGGTTTTCCCTCCACTTTGCACTACTTCCCTTCCTCCAACTTTTCCTTTTGCCCACTGTTAAACCACCGTGCCCTCTTGACCCTATGTTGTAGCCACCATTCTTATGGATTTAGGAGAGGCTGAGACTTCCTTTAGACTAGTCAGTCCTGCTTCTAAATTGACTACTAGAGGGTTCCCGTGGATTCTAGCACTCAGCAGGGGAAGGTACATTACTGCCTGAGCTGGATGTTGTATCTTGATATGATGATGGACTTTTGTCAAAATCTCATTTATGTAGGGTGGGATTTTTCAGAAGTGCTCAGCTTTGGCCGGCTCAGCTCCCACTGAAGTCAACAGGTTGACTTTTTTTGCCCCCAATTTTTTCCCATTAGAAAATGGTTTCCCCAAATCTAGAAACTGAAAATGGAAAACGGATAGACTTTTTTTGGTCTTCAACAACTGACACAAAACATTGTAAGTCAAAATGAAGAAAATTTTCTTCCCAGCTCTAGCGATTGCTATTGATGTCAGAGTTAGGCCCACCCATATGGCATGACCTTACCGGGATAGCAAGCCTACTCCACTCTTACTCTTCTCTCTTAGAGTTGAGACCCTTTCCTCTCTCAGGACTAAGATTCTCTGTTCCATCCAATAGCTCCAGCTTTCTCCACCGTGGGACAGGGCAGCTTGCTCTACCTAGCAGCCACGGTATGCTGGTAGGACGATACACGATTCTCCCCCTTTTCCACATCTCCAATAAAACTCTTGAAGACTTTCACCAGTTTTATTTCTTTGCGCAACTGCTGTCCCAAATTTAGCTTTTCTCCCCCCCCCCCCCCCCCCCCTTTTTTTTTAGGAGTCTGAACGTTTTTTTGGTGAAAATTTGCAATGCATCTTTCGTGCCGAATTTTGGCCAGAGGGAGTCTTTTGACAATCTGAGAAGGGCAGAAAAGTCAGTCAGGAGGTGGTGCCTCTGGGTGTAATTGCTAGTCTCCCAGTGGATTAAACACAAGGCTGGGAGCCAAGGCCGTCAGCTCAGTGCCACTGACAGCTGCTGCCTCAAGCTTATCCATCAATCATTGAATGGTGGTATTGAACAATGATTGTGACCGAATACAGTCTGGCTGCACTCCCAGATAGGAAACCATTCTGCTCTGAGATCCTGAATATACCAGTGACGTTGTCTGGCGAATTGTTGCAGCTGATCTGGTTGAGCGATAAACAATGGTTTGAACCCCTACCCATTATCATCAAGTGGCCTCCAGCTCTGCATTGCAATCAGCTCAGTATCAGCCTATTCGGGTGAGGCATCGATATTTGGGCAGCGTCATAGTGCTGGAAGAAAAGATGTGGATGCTTGTATAGAAGCAGCTGCCGCCATGTTTCAGGCCCTTCGACGGCCTTCGTTGGGGGCGTTGTGACATCAAACTCGCTGTGAAGCTGAGGATCTGTAGAACCACCGTTATACAAACTCTGTTGTAAGGCAGTGAACATGGGCTCCGACGAAGGCTGAAGAACACTGGATTTATGTTTTTGATTCTTGTTGACTTTGTTAGCTGCTCCATATCAAGTGGCAGGACAAGATCAGAAATTGGGATATTTGAAGCCACCCTCAGCAACTGCCTCCATGGTTTTCTTGGTGTGGACATATTATTAGACTGGAAGCCCAGCAGATTGTGAAGCGTGTGTACCAAGGAATGCTGCTACATGGCTGGTGATCAGGTGGGGGTTGAAAGCTTTGGGGACGTGACAGTGATGGACATAAACAGAGTTTACCATCTGACCACCTTAAGCCTCTTTCCAGAGATGGATCCAGGTGCTGCTCAATTTGCAAGGAGGCCATGTGCCTCTGGGATTTACCATGATGATGATGATAGCCAAGGCAACTGAAGTACTAGTTCTAGCCATTCAACCTGTATCTCCCTCTGCAGGTTTTGGTGAAAGCATAAAGATTGAAATATGCTGTAAATAGTTAAGGATCCTCTGAAACTAGAAGCTGTTATTGTAAAAGCATATAAAATGCTAAAGATATGAGAGTGTGAGATTTTTGTCCTGAACTGTGTAATGCAGGTGCCTTTTAACAGTAATGTCTAAAGACAGCTGTTCACTGCAGTTTGTCTGCTGGCGGCTTGTCACTCGCTGATTAGCAGCTGGTAATGCTGCTCTTGGAAAAGCTGTGTAGTCAATCAGCAGCTGGAGGGGGACACCTGAGGGGAAGTGGAGGGAGATGTTTCTCTCCCTCTCGTAATAAAAATTCTTACAGCTGAAGATTTTCATGATGTTTTTCATGAGATCTGTATGTAATGGTGCGGTGTCACTCAAAGTAGCTTAAAGGGACTGTCTGATTAAAACCATATTTAAAAAGCCCCAAACTTGCCAGTGTTACATATGCTGTTTTAGATAGCATTTTAAAAACTAAATCTTCCCTTTACCATTCATTCGCTTTGTCTGCATTTCACTCCTTGTGGGCAGTTCTGTTCTCCCCCCCCCCCCCCCCCCGTCGCTGTCACTCTTTGGTTACGCTACATTACCACAATACTGCAATGTTTGGGAAGTGGGGCAATGTTTAAAACTGGACTGGAAAGAATTTTTGAAAATATTCCTATTGATGTTATGTTTATAACACACATTCATAAACACACACAATCTGGGTCCTAAATGAATTGATATTGCTTCTTTAAAAGAAGATCTTATCCTTTGACATATTGGCAGAACAGTTTGTGAGGAAGCCTCTGTAAGAATAGCCGTTTTGTGAAGTAATCAAGGGAGAAATACATGTGCATTAGGTTTCTATTTGGTCTGAAAATTCAGTGCCATCTGTTCCAGATGTTTTCAGCTGCATTTATAGCTAGCAACTGCTGTGCTGCTTAAAAAGAAAAAACAGTTTATTTTACACTCTTTCTCTCTCACCCATTGCACTTAGACGACCAGCCATCGAATCAGTTCCTTTGTCTGCGTAACAAAAGTTGCGCAAATAGTGTTGAATAATTTAATAAATGTGAACTCTGGGGCAAGGCTTTTGTGCATGTGTGCTGGCTTTGTATTTTTAGCTGCTAATGCTAGCTTGTAGAGAATGTTAAATCTTATCTCATCGTGCAGGGGAACAGCAGCTTGTAAAATGGTACAATGTTCAAACATTGTAAAATAATAGGAATTTATCCTCCAGAACAGACTTCTGGTTACCTGCTACATACAGTATGTGAGGAAACCATCAGACTATACTAACTAGAGATGCGCCTGTGCTGCAAAGTTCAGAATTGGATCCAAACTTTGTGGGTGCCAGGATCTGGGGTGTTGGTTTGGGCTCATCTCTAGAATTAAACATGTCAGATGGTGCTCTAGTAATTATTGCTGTACAGTAGTCCAGAAGAAACAAATGCACTGCGGGTGTTCACTTATTGGTTTTAAATCTGGCCCCCTCTCCTCTGCCCCTCCCCCTATATGAAATATTCGTGTATCTGCTGTGCGAAGTGAGCTTTTCTTAGCTGGAAACTAATAGCTAAAGGCTATAATAATGTGGATGTTACTAACAGAGTCCAAGATGGAAGAAAACACAACTGTTGATGGGAGAATTGCTGGTAAACTGTTAGCTGGAAAATGGAGAGACGAGGGGGAATTATGAAGCTTATTGGCTTATAAAATTCTTGGAATGGTTTTTGCTCAGAGAAAGCTTGACATCTTGTAACAAAGCAGACACCCTAGTAAACAAATTTGTTCGCTAGGTCTCTATATGCGCAAGATTACCCTGAGCTCTTGAAGATCTAAATCAATTTACTGGTAGCTGCTATTGCTTTTAGAGCACCCTTTTGGGGGGCATGATTAGAAGACCTGATAATGCGTTAGTATGTTCTCCAGGGATTCTCCCACTTTGGGCTGGCCCTCTGAGCCTTTGCAGGAGGGTTGCAATTATTTCCCAAATGCACTTGTCTTTCACAGTTGGTAGAAAACTTTAGGCCCCAGTTCTGCAGCGTTACACGCTCTGAAAAGCCTCATTGACTTCAGTGCTGTTTGCAGTGTGTAAATTAAGAACTCCTATTTGACAATTATCACTGAATGGTTTCCCTATCCTAAAAATGGTAAAGGTTGACAAATGTTTACTTATCGACATTAAATATAATTGAAGTATTTAGCATAGTATGTTGCAGGCTTCCTTTAATTTTGACTGTAACTCTTGATATTTGCTAGTCAGAAGTAGGTTTACAAACACTCACTAGGGAAGTTTCAGCGATCTTATTTAGTGGTGAAATTGTATAGTGAAAATCACATTTAATGGAACAGGAGGGCTTCCTGGCATTGTTATAAAATTAGGAACAAATGGGAGGTGAGGGGAGAAGGAAAGGGGGAGAGAAGTGAAAGAAAGAAATTTAGAAAATCAATACATGAATGAATGGCCTGCACACACAAATGACTGCTGTGATGGCCTGACTTGCTGTAGCTTGGTCTCTGGATAATCCTCAGATGTCAGATTTCCGTAAGGCCAACATGTGACACAAAGCTTGCCTCTCCACAGAGAAGTGTGCTTTACTGGTATTAAGAGGCTGGCTGGCGCCTCGTCTCTCACCATGCATGAGAATGTGTGTCTGTCTGTCTGTATGCATTATGTGTGTCTGTTTGTGTAGGTGGTTCTACGGGCAGTGTGTTTTAGAAGAGCTTTTAAGTGAAACCGGATTTCCACAAGCTATCGGCTAGTGTATAGACGCACCAAACTACTATGTGCGTCTCTTTTTTTAAAGAAAAGACTCCGAGCTGGGATTACCTTTCTCACACCTGCCACCACTGATGCCCTCTCAAGGTTAGAGTTTGAGCGACGTGGGACCAGCTTAATACCAAACGCCATTCAAAAGGAGCTGCATGAAGGAACAGCAGACACGGAAAGAAGAGCAACAGCACCCACCCAATAACATGAACAATAGTTTGCAGGTTAACCTGCCCAGGAGTTGGGCTGGTTCAAATAGCTCACTCCAGGAGAAGTCTGAGCACTCTTTTTTTCTTTTCTATTACTACAGAATGGAGGATGAGGCGGTGCTGGACAGAGGGGCTTCCTTCCTTAAGCATGTATGCGACGAAGAAGAAGTGGAAGGTAAGAGATCTATATTTCTTGGGTTAATGTGTGTCTTTAAAATTTAATATTTATATATTGGAGCAAAACAAATTGCCACAGGCAGATTCAGTGAAAAGGGATAGTTCTTTTTCTGAACAATTAAGCTTAAAAATGATTTGAAATGGCGGCAGCCAGAATTAGCATAGACCTGACTTTATACAGCTTAACTCTCACTTTGAAAACGGGACTCTTTTTGTGCTGCTGGTATTCTTTCTTTCTTTCCAAAATAACATTCACATGCCTCCACAGAATAGCCATGAGATGCTGTGTGTTTTTTATATAAATGCATTTCACAGCACTTACGAATCAATATTGCACCTTGTATGGCATACATTGGCAGGCATCACAAATGGAGGAGACCCTTGCACAAAATGATCCCAGCTGAGTCGGTATTGAGTGCTGGCCCCTGGGTGCCAGACTCCGGGCACTAAGAGGATCATTTTCTGTGGGATTCTTTCGGCTTAGAAGAAATACAGGCCATGACTTTCTGTGAGAAAAGGGACCTGTTTAACTAGGCCAAGAGTTGCCCCATATTTAAAGAAATGAACAAGAGCATCTGAATTTTTTTTCTTTTGCATAAACTAAATATATTTGTGTAACTCCCTCCAAACAATGAAAATAGTTTTAGAAAATATCTGCAAAATACAGTGATTGGGTCTCTGAATGCAACTATCAAGCTTCCAGCAATTCAAAATAATCATTTCAAAAAATAGCCTGGAAACTGCCAGGTATGAGAAGTGCAGTGTTTTGTTTCCTCAACTATGTCAGCTGTGCTCCATGGCTATAAAAACCACCCTGTTGGTTTTAACTAGGCCATTTACTGTCTATAGGGGTTGGGGTGAGAGGGTCTCCTGTTGGAGGATACTGACCCCACGGGTGTGAAAGCCTTAGCACAGAACGTAAACATGTAATTTTTTCTTTAAACGTTTCTACATATTTTAAAGCCTAAAATGGTGACAAACCCTGTAATAAAACACAGTTATAACGGTAAGGAGCAGAGCAGCAAAAGGTCATGCCAACTCCCTCAAGGTGTATTAAAAATAGAAGGGTTTTGAGTGGCTGTTAAGACTCTGATTTTCTATCTGACCCTTCTTTAATATTCTTTCCAGGTGAATATGCAAATGTGATCTATCATTAAAGAATCACAGTCCAATTGTTATCACCTTGCTGGGGGCAGGGAGTAAGAGTAGATGAAAAGAGATGAAGTGTCTATATAATTCCTCAGCACAGGAGACTGGGAACTGTAACTCCAGGTCTGAGCCTTTTGATAGACTCAAACTTTGGGTTGTATAACTAACTCCCTTGTTCTCATTAATGGCAGTGCCTAGGTACTACAGTGAAACTTCTTAAACACCCCCAGATAACTAGTTAAGGAAGCTAGCACATGTAAATTTTTGAATACGTGCAGTGTAGCAACTGCCATTGTATTGGAATAGGAACAGGTGTGCTAATGTGAAAAGACTTCAAGTTGCCACTTCACCTCTGCTGTTCTTTGGGGCATGGGTTGTCCTTTTCGTATGTGCTTTGACAGCACCGGGCACATTTTGGACACTTTGCCATATAAATAATTATTCATAAGTGTTGGCCTTTTGTATACGTTGCATTTGCCTAACCAAGAACACACCATACATGCATGTGCCTAATCTACCTGTAACAGTAACACTAATGGGAATTATATGAGAGCATATGTCCCTATGGCATGTCCCCAGACTTTGAAGATAATTTAAGATCTCTGTGTGTATCTGGCCATTTCCTGCTTATTGTCATGGAGAAGTTATCATTTCACTTCTGATGTTAATGGGTAAATGCTACCTGCCTACCTTGCTTTAATATCAAAAGGGCATAGGTAATAACTACAATACGTTTTTGTTATGAAGAGTTGCTTTGTTGGCGCCTGGCTGACGTCGTATAGAGATGCTCGGAAATATGGCTCAGCATATTTTACTGAGGTTACTTCCCAATTCCATTTCAGAGAATGGGAAAATGTAAGCATTATTGCGAGAATGAGGAACAAACAGAGCTCCAGGGTCAAGTTTTTCGAAAAAGAAAAGCAGCCCCATTTATTTACAGCACCGTACATTCTTTTCTTAAAAGGTAGTGACGTATTCCTAAAATTCCACTAAGTTAGGAATCTAGATATGTGAGACACACAGATTACTTAACTTGTTTTGGAACAAGGGAAAAAGTAAAGCTCCACCTTATCCCTTGTGATAAGATCTTGCCTCTCTAACTCCCCTCAAGCCAGTAGTAGCTCTGACTTCATAGTGGGGCGGAGGATACTTGATTTCAAGTTTAGCAACTCAGTTAAAACTGTAAAGAAGGAGGGGCACTCTGACAGGGTTCAGGTATGTAGGTGAATGTGGCCTGCATTTCCGCAAGTTCCCCCCACCCTGTATCCATCTACTTTAATAAGTTAGGGATACCATGAAGATGGATGCAGTATTGGAACCCGACTAGAATAGAATTCTCTGTTACACTGGAAATTTATGTCTGTGGATCTCATCAATGTTAAGGGGAGTTATCTACATAAATGTCTGTACACATGGATCAGAGAAACATGTGGAACTTAATTAGGGACTTTGCAACAAGAGAAACTTTAATAAAAAAACCTCCCAACCCCTAAAACCATTTGCCATTTTTGCTAAACCTCTTTTTCTTTTGCTTGTCAGTGGATTTGTGTTATCACACATTTGGGGGAAAAAATTGTGTAATGTCATAAAATGCTACCTTAATTTTGCTTCACTCAAAACATCACTCATTTTGCAGTAACAATGGGAGACTTTGTGAATTACTGATTGATTAATTTTTTTAAATATAGTATAAATGAACAAGTGAAATTAAAAAATATAAGCAAGGAAAAATCACCACAGAATGTACTTTGTTCATTTGTTTTGATAACTTAGCTTAGTTTAAATTGCACAATAGCAGAGGGAGCTGCGTTTTTGTGTCTTCAAAACCTCCACAGACTTTGATTTTGCTGTTGCAAAATTAGGAGTGATTACTTAAAGTGTAAGCTCTTTGGGGCAGGGACTGTCTTGTTTTGTTTTGTATCTGTACAGCACCTAGCACGTGGGGGGAGGGGGCCCAGATATGGACAAAGCCCTCAGTGCTGCCACAATACAAATAGTAAATAGCAGTAGGGGTTTGGGTTCCAATTCTGGTTTTTATGTGAACCTTCAAATTTTGAGAGGGTTCAGATAAAAGATTTCTATTTCAGCTCCTCTCTAGTTTTAATTCTCTGTTATGCTTTGTATACTATTAAATATGCTGTAGTACAGCTTGGATAAACTCTCAAGTCCTGATTCAATACAAATGCAGTAGAACCTACCTTAAATGGTCTAATAGGAGGTTCTTTGCATCATACCATCTTTCTAACATTTGATAGCTTGACACTAGTAAATCTACCAGCATGTTTACCATCCGTTTTTTTCAACTTATGGCTAATCTTCTTTATCTGTAGGTGAGATGTCATTCTAGTCTGCTGCAAATGTCTTTTATCCGTTGGCAGGGTAGTTGGCAGACTTCAGTGTTATCTTAAAATGTGCTGGTGTCCTGTCTGACATCAGTGCTTTCTCACTTCCACTGCTGTGACACGTTAATGTCCTATTTGAAGGGCTCGGATTTAAAAACTTGGGTCAAAATTGGGATGACTGTAAAGTGATTTTATTTAAAATGGTACTTAGCTGAATGTGCATTTTAAAAAGAACTCTCAGGGTTTTTCCTTCTGCCTTTTAAAGAAAGTACGCCTGTGGGAATTGTCATAGAGTTTAGGGCCAGAATGGACCACCAGATCATCTAAACCTCCTGAATGGCACAGGCTACCCACATGCTAAACATTAAAAGTCCTTTGAGGATGAAAAGGCAGTGTATAAGTGCTGAGTGGTCTTTCTTTTAAAGGAATATTAAATTCTCCAGTGACAGAGCCTTGTAGTACAAATTATTTTACATCAAATCTGAGGAAAGTGTTTTGTAATACCATAATGGCAGTAACATGGGTTTTTTAACCCCCGTTTTAAAGGGAGAAGATAGGAATTGCTGATTTCCGTAATTAAAGGCAAGGAGCAAACAGCCAGCATTAAAAACACTTAATATGGTATTAAATGATCAATTTAAAAACAATCCATCTCTGTGCAAAAGTGACACGAATGAGATGTGCACCTGCTCTCCAACTTGGCGGCTAACCAAACTTGGCTGAAGGCCATGCTAGTTGAAATGGTGACAGTCAGACTGCGGCATTGTGCCCCTTGGTCTGCTGGTGTGAGAGAGTGTTCCAAATGGAGGGCTTTGGATGTACTGATGGAGGCAAACCAGAGCACCAGGCCTGCCAAGGGAGCTGCCTGCACAGACTCCAGCTTGACAGGCAAATTTTCTGGGACTGTGCAGGCTGATCCCTTTTCAGGATCAAGGCCCATACTATTTAACTGTATGCATAATAATATACATTTACTGTGTGTACAGCAGGGGTTCTCAACCTTTTTCTTTCTGAGTCTCCTCTCCCCCAACATGCTATAAAAACTCCATGGCCCACCTGTGCCGCCACAACTGGTTTTCTGCATATAAAAGCCAGGGCCGGCGTTGCAGGGTAGCAAGCAGGGCAGTTGCCTGGGGCCCCACACCACAAGGGGCCCCGCAAAGCTACATTGCTCAGGCTTTGGATTTAGCCCCCCGGTGGCATAGCTCAGGGCCCCAGGCTTCAGCCCTGCACAGTGGGACTTCGGCTTTCTGCCTTGGGCCCTAGTGAGTCTAACACTGGCCCTGCTTGGTGGAGTCCCTGAAACCTGCTTGTGGCCCCCCAGGGGGCACCGGACCCCTGGTTGAGAATCGTTGGTGTATGGGACAGTGCTATGGTCAGCTTACCCAATCAGGTTATGTGTCCGCTGCCTCAGTTTCTCCAGAGAAGTACATGTAGACTCGTGGTTTGTCACATCCCCTTCTTTGGATCTGATTTGCTAAGAAAACATAACCGTTCAAACATAACT